CATGTGATATCATTGAGAGAGCAATTTCTATGGAAATGCTCAATGTAAACAAGGGCCCCTATCCCATTAACAGAGGGAGGGAAATTCTCATTAAAATAGCTATCACGTGGGCAGGTGTAATGGCATGTCTGTGCTTACTGTATGCTAGAATAGCTGGTCAAAGGTAAGGAAAATTCCAGATTAGGGCTCACGTTATAATCTTCTTCTTGGTGTGTTTAGAGAGGTAATTTAGAACTTTTGTTTAAGCTTCGGTAATGTCTTTCTCGCTTACTAAAGCTGTTGTTAGCAATTTGGAAACTTGGGATGTTGAGTGTAATTGGGTGTGAATCAGGGGTAGTCAGCAACCGTCCACCGAATAACCGCTGACCATGTTTTCCAATTTTTGGTTTTGTTTTTCTTTCTTTCCGAAGGAAGGTTTAGTTGCTGTTTATCCAGCGTTCTAGGAGTCCAGAATTTTGCTCGTCTAGTCTCTTATCGATACTTGAAAATTACTACTTTACTATGATCGACCTAGGGTGAAAGATTAGGAGGAAATCGGCGATTTTTGCTTTCTCCCAAGGGTAACTGATTTCCGTATTTTACTTTTTTTCGTACTTTTTTAATTCTTCGGTGTAAAATGCATAAAAGAAGTGGTCGCGATAAATCCCATGAGAGCGAATGGGAGAGTTACATGGTGGACTGGGAAGGATACCTACCCAATGAGACGATAAGTGGCGCTTCAGGGGCAGTGGCGCCTTGTCATCGGCTTGGTAGGGCGCCGGAAAAGAGCTCTTTGATCCTCCGGAATTCTTGCCAATTACGTTTCGGTCGTCCAATGAGTTGCACGGCTGCTGGTTGACGACTAAAAGTTATCGTTATCGCTCGATGTTCATTTCCTTCATGGTACCCAGCGTGATCGCTTCCTTCAAAGTACTGAGAATTTGAAAAGCATGCAGCTGGAAATGAGGTTCTTTTTTCTTTTCTGAGAGGCTCCATTACTAGGCAAATTTGGGAGGAAAAAACCCTAGAATATTAAATTTTTGTAATTTTGGCATACAATGCAGCATTTGTAGCATTTAATAATTGTGGTTGAGGGGTTTTGGGAAGTTGAAAGGGTTCAAATTTATACGATTTCAAAAAAAATGGACAGAGAACTGAACACTGTTTTCGGGAAAGATCGAACCGTAAGCAATTGTTTGCACTTCTTTTTTGGCATTTCCAAGGCTACTCAAAAAATTAATCTCGATTCTATGTTTCTTGCATACACTTCACGACATCAAGAAGGCGTTGAAAAGTCCCTCACGTCTTGAGCGGCTCATGGCTGATGTCAGACTTTGCGATTCGCTACTAGCGATTCGCGCGATTCGCTAGCGTCCGCGGTCGCGTTGCGGTACCAGCCAATTGAGTGGTTCACTGGCCTCGACGCGACCGCAGACGCTGGCGAATCGTAATCTGACCTCGGCCCTATCGTTAGATTAGACTTTCCAATATTGTGTCTGTATCGTCTTGCTATTACTTTGAAAAGCAGGAGGGATCATGTAGGGTAGTTTTGGAATCCAATGGGTTGATAAGGAAGTAGGGCTCTGTTGGGTCAGGTGCAACGTTAGTAATTTGTTATCTTAGCTATTCCACAAATTTTGCGTTGATATATCATATGTAACTGGTTCTTCTTAAAGGAATCTTCCACGGACCATGGACCAGTGGGCGGGACCGGAAGTTTTTGTGACGAAATGCATGGTAGGTACGGATCCACGTGTCGAACGCACGAACGTGAACAGGATTCACTTCAAACCTTCCCATGAACGTGGATCCGTACCTACCATGCATTTCGTCGCAAAACCACTTCCGGTCCCGCCCACTGGTCCATGGTCCGTGGAAGATTCCTTTAATAGTGTTTTGAGGTGTATAATTTGTAGGGTAGAGTGGTGAGACACACGGTCAACCTCCATTTGATTTTTTAACAAGCAGGTATCTGTAATTTCTCTATGGAGAGAAGTTTTTAGGGATCCGCGGAGGGGAACGGTTATGGAAGTTCAAGAGCCATGCATACTAGTATGCAACCGAGGGGGCACCTGAGGGGTCGTAAAACCAGCACATCGTGGCTGTTCACTCTTATGGGACCTTATGGGACTATTGTCGATAGTTTTCTCTCGGAAGCAGAGTAATTTTTGAAATAAAAAAAATGAAATAGACGGGGTTGGCACATTCTTTGGTGTCATTCTTTGGTATGTTCGACTTTCGAATAGCGTGTTTATTTTGGTTTGGTTGCGTTTGCCCCCAGAAGAGATCTTGTGATCTTTTTATTATACAAGCGTTTCAGCCCTAGGCCTTCCTCGGTGCCTTGTTGCACAAGCGATTAGATCATCGCTAGTGCTAGGTTACAGGAACACTCGTTGTAGCAAGGAGGTTTTTTGTTTAGAGTTCATAGAGTTTGATTATTATTATTATTTTATATGATGATCTCAATCTTATTTATTTTGCAGAATAGGTTGTTCATTAGACATAAGGCGTGTTCGGTGAGGAGGGCATTGAGCCGGATCTTCACTGATGTGCCACTGAAGGACGCCCACAAGTCACACTAGCGGCCGTCCTCAGTGGTTGGTCTTCGTTGCTTGTTGTTCTGGGACTTGTCGATGTCTGCAATAGACCTTTTTCCTGTAGATAGAAGATGGGAAGGTCGTAGCCAAACTTGAGATTTGAGAGCGCGTGGTTTCTCTACAAAATCTTGAAATCGACTGTTTCACGCCGACTCTGTATCGTGTTTGAAGGTCTCAGTGGTCACCTAAATCATGCCTGTGTTTGCAAACAATTCAAATGATTCGTTTGTGGAATGGCTCCCTTCACGAATAGTTTTGTGTATTTGCCCTTGGAATAGCGGTATCTACTGAATTGGAACTTTCTGAGGAACAAAGTTCAAGGTCGCACTTTTAGGCCAGACATGCTAGACAAGTTCTCATCACTGGCCGCAGCGATGTCTCAACTTCAAGGAGCCCTCAAAAAGAGCGCCATACAGTCAGGTATTGTATTGGAATTCCTATGCTTTCAATTTCTTACTTACCTAAACCGTTTCGTCAAGGCCGAACATATGGTTACGTATTTTTGCTAGCTTTCAAGCCTTCCCTTCAGTTGTACTTTTTCAAGGTCATGAAGATCATGGAGCACTTTTGAGAAGTCATGTGTTGGTACCGCAACGTCTGCAGCTCGAACCGGATTCACAGTTGCAAGTGAGACCGTTATGTAGTAAAACCATTGTTACTGTACCACCGTTTCGATGACGTCGCCGTTCTAGGACCAGCTGCTGTAGTTTAGCACTTGGCACCTGTTCGACAGCGGCTAACAAAACTTCCAATGTTCCGTTTACAGACACTGAATCGCTCATGTGTAACATCATAGGAATCACGACGTAGTTTCGGGATTATTGTGCGCAAAAACTTAAATCCCAGATAATGGAATCCGAAAAATGATGTTTAGAAGGCAGTGAATAGAAATCAAAAAGGTCAGTTGATTTTTTTCGGATGACAGAACATGCTGTGCTTAGTGAAAATGGGTTCAGCTAAACTAATATTCTCGTCTTTGACCATTTTGTATGTTTTCCGCTTTTCGAAAGCCAGCCGAATATCGGAAGTATCTGACTGCTTGCTTTGCTCCCTTTTATCCATCGATCACTAACGTGGTAATGTGCATAAGTGGCAGAGAACATTGTATAATTAGTGGTTGTCAGTTTCGATTAAGATCATAGGATTCCTGAGCTTCATTGTTTCACGAGACTTCTTTGTTGTTGATTGAAATGAAACTCTTCCAAAAGGCTTTATTTGACGACGTTTCGGGCCGTAAGCCCTTCTTCAGGTCTATAACATCATCCATACATTACGTTCTAACATAAAAGAGTGAATCAATACAACATGATATATGAAGCCGACTAACCAATTACAAAAAAGGGAAATTCCCTTTTTGTTGGAATAATGTTATAGACCTGAAGAAGGGCTTACACGTCAGAAACGTCGTCAAATAAATCCTTTTGGAAGAGTTTCATTACAATCAACAACAAAGGTAGTCAGTTATAGAACGAAATTGACGTTGCGCTTTCAGAAGGGTGTAGTTTTTGCCTGGCGATTGTATCACTGTTTTTTTTTGTTCCGTGAAAGAAGCATTTTTTGCGAACTCTAGTGGGTTTTTCGTGCTTGTCCATCGTTCAGAGGGAAAGATTCCTTGTGGGAGAAATTTTGCTGTTTTTCTCTGTTTTTTTTCGTTAGGGCGCACAGGGCTTTTTTCGTGATAGGTCATCTGTTTGAGAAGAGTTGTGGAGTTTGTGGGACCTCGTAAGGTTTTTCTTGTTTGCGGGAAGTCGTAAGCAAAGTTTTTTCTAATAGCTACGACCCATCGATTTTATTATGACATTGAACGAAGCCATGAAAGATTGAATCTCTCGCAGCTCTCATGTCTACGCAGCTTTTGTTTGCGCGTGTAATCCCCCTAATCCCCTGGCATTAAATTGATATTTTCGAACTTTAGGGCAGGACGTTATCAGTAAACAGATTACTCATCTCAACAAATATGTTGACCTTCTACTGCAAAGCCTACATTCAACAGATCGTGCGCATAATGAAAGCCTAGCGGAAAAGGTTGGTTTTCACCTGGCTGTTACTTTCTTTTAGTTATACTTTAATTTCTTTTTGTATTTACTCCATTTCCCCTGTAGTTAGTAAAGCACACCCCTCAGTTTGTAGTTAAAGGCTTCCCCCTTCTAACTTTGTGTATCACCAGATTCGTTTTTGAGTTGGATGGTGATGGTAGGCAGAACGGATGACTTTGAGGTTTCTATTGAACGCCCCGTTGGCGGTTCCCATCGGGTCGTCCTATTTTCTACGTCTTCTTCGCTTATCCTTGAACATTCGAGTGACGTTCTGTGCTACTTTCTAAATTACATTTCCTCTCAAATTCGAGCGATAGTAGTGTTCAAGAGTGGGCAGAGCATGCGCTAAGGTTCTTTGCTTTTTCGTTCACATTAATACCCATCTTGACCTTCTCACACGACGTGATGGTGAAACAGAGTGCTGTGCATTGTGAGGGCTCTCATTTTGCCCCGCCTTTCTTATTATGTTTTAGTCTTCCTCTGATGTCTCTAAAGACCCGCGCTTTGGCTAATAGGGGAAGATATAGGTTTATGCTTTCCGCTCAAAACACCTAATTTTGACCCTCCCCCCAATGGAGTGGTCATTGTTCTGCCTTAGAGTGCTCATTAGTTCCAGTCGTACCGTCTTTCATTCTGTCGCACAAGGCGTGCATCATAAAGCGACCGAATCCTGAGCTCCACAAGAATGCTCATTTATTAGGAAAACCTTGTTCCTAGGAGGATCGTACTCTCGTGCTTAGTGGGCAATTGTGGTACCACTTACACTACTTGGGGGGGGGGGGGAGGGTGCGTGACTATACAATCGTGGCAGTAAGTAGGTCGCCGCGCGGGCCGCCGCAGCCAGCAATATCGCGGCGAATTTGCAAAGAACTCAGCATCCAAGCATTGGGGAATGTACGATCAGATCATGTTTCCCGTCATGAAACATGAAATAAGAACCACTTAAACCTTTAAAATGCAGTTTCGTTTTCGCTCGCCGTTATTACATACTTATCATATCATGCTTATGTTTGAGCCTTCCTCGCCGCTACTCTGTGTCTTGATACGCAATATTCTTTCAGATTGAACCAGATTATCACTCTCTGATAGAAATTCAGGAAACTGATTAATAAAGAAGTCAAATGAAATCCTAAAGGACAACCTTTACACGGTACAGTTTGTACTGCGAGGCTTAAATCACTGCAGGGATCTTACAGTGACGCTTGCTGGCTTACTGATGTCCAGCACTCTGGTGTTATCAGTCACCTAGCCAACTTATGAGCATGGATGGATAAGAAAAGGTCCACACAGAAATCGCCGCAGCAACTGCCGCACGCGACGATTCTCGCCGCGCGTGAGCGGCGTGACCTCGTGCGGTCGATTGTTAGTCCGTCGCCCCTACTGGGTGTATTTTCACTTACCTCAAGCTTTGATTTACACGCTTTAGCCCTAATGTCTAAGCGTTGATAGCGTTAGCGACATGGCAGGTGACCGATAGGCTAAAAGCTGTAGAAATTTTTTGTATTTTGCTGTCAATCTGATTTTGATTAAATCGACTGTTGAGAGTTACTCGCTTTAGCGCCAAGTTAACTGGACCCCGCTTGGAACGTTTTGTCTTTGAAGAGTAGAGGTGGCTGCGCGAGTTAGTTTCTAACTGCTGGACTTTTTATTTCTGCCTGCCCAATATCTTTGAGAAAGTTATTGTGTTGTTTCGTAGTGTCCTCAATGCGAGGTTTTAACAGCTGCTTGAATCTAAAGTGTTTTTACCTAATCTAATTATTTTGTTTGTTCAGCCAACGTTCAACAAGGAAGAGACGGCTCGTCTAGTGCGCGCTACGATGGTTGGTGAAGGTTTGAAAATCAATATGGGCAGATCGGCATCGGCGACGTCGTCGACCACCCAGCTACCGCGACCTTCTGGAGCGCAGCAGCGCTCATAACTCTTCAAAGAAAGTGTGACTGCGCGTCGACCGTTCGCGCGTTCTCCAATTTTACGGGCTTTTTTCGTGACGGGCAAGATTCGTGCAAAATAATTCATTCTTTGTTCTTTTGCTTTCTTGGAAGTCCTATTATTGAGAAGTACTGTATTGACATTTCCGATAAGTCTGTTATCGTTGACTTTTTTTTCATCATGTTATTGCTTATATGAAGGTTTCTATACTAGTTGGAACGACTGTGGAAATGTGTTTTCTTCACGTGTTATACTATCTGCTTAGATCCTACGAGATTAGTTTTCTGAAATGTTTCTGATGGACAATTCTCAAAATGCACATTCAGCATGGATTGTTCTGTAGTTTAGTCGGAGATGAGCGGTGCTGCCGTGGCCGCAAGCTCTGCCGGCGACGATCTCCCAGGTCCATCGGGATCCAGGAACTCGGATTTCATGGGAGTGGAACCACGGAAAAAGAATGCAAGCCAACAACCCGATGGACGTATGAGTCGAATTGAAGCCGTACATCGTACGCTCCATGGTCTTCATCATGAATGGGAACAAAGAAAGAGGTTTGACATATTCATGTCGTCTTTGTTTTTCTGCACTTTTTAAACCTTTTTTTTGGCCGAGGTGGCTGATTAAGGTCTGTTCTGCTCTGTGAAGTTTTCCAGAATTCTTTTTTGAGTTTCATTTTTTTTTATGACTAAGCCGCGTAGCGATAGCAATGCCCGCGACCAAGATCAATGTAGAAAATCTAGGGATGCGCTTCACACTAACTAGTGTATGTAACTTTATTTCGATTGGTGCTCACCCTACCCAGTGATCTGTACGACCTAAGAGGCTTTTCAGTCGGCATTTTCGTCCTTGCGTACGACGTTATCGGTTATAGTTACTGCTGAGGGTCTTCTTGGGTGTGTAGGATCTAAGCACTTGAAACATGCAATACGTTGGGCACTTTCAACGGCTGCGCTATATTTTGTAAGCGCTGACGTAAGAAACGCCCTGTGTGGGTCATACTCAATATATTCAAAGTTCCATGGGAAGTTGAATGCCTCTCCTGGGACTAACCAGGGAAAGGCATTCAACTTCCCATGGAACTTTGAATTGAGACCCAGATATATCGATAGAGCTTCAAACGCTGATTACAAATATGGAAACTAAAACTGCAAAATGAACCTGCCAAGGAAGTTGTGAGCAGTCAAAGTTGGCTGGAAGTAAAGCGTTACATATGAACCGTGCTGGCCCCAGGCTTTCAGAGTCGCCGCGGAGCAGTGGTGGTGCCCTCGCTCTTCACCCTGGAGGTCATAAGCTCTTCCCGTTGGAGTGCAAATTCGAGAGCACTACCACTACTCCACGGCGACTTTGAAAGCCCGGAGGCTAGTGTAATGCTTACTTCCAGCCAACTTTGACTGCTCACAACTTCCTTGGCAGGTTCATTTTGCAGTTTTAGTTTCCATATTTGTAATCAGCGTTTGAAGCTCTATCGATATATCTGGTCTCATCTCAAAGTTCCATGGGAAGTTGAATGCCTTTCCTGGTAAGTTATTACATCCAGATCTTTACATGCATATGTTCCATGATAGATTTGAAAAGTGTGAAGGAGGGGACCAATTGAGGCAATTACCATATGGTTGGCATGTGAATATTTTCCAAGTTGATTAGGCGTCTTCCCTAAAATCTTCCCTTTTGTGATCCTATGTATTTAGTTCTAAATAGATGACACTTTTCTGCCGATAGATTACCGAAATTGGAGTTGTATGTGTTTTTGATGGAAGTGTAAGTAAACATGTTGCAGGCTGATGCCTCTCTTCTCTCTACGCGGACAGTGATTTTCTGTTAACATTAGCTGAATGGTTAGATGGGGCAATTTTGAATCGCATTCGTAACAATTCGGTCGCAGACTCGGGAATCTATTAATTTTTTGTGCACCTTTCGGTTTAGGTTTTCGTTGGTGGGTCAAACGTGCTCTTAATCTGCCCCCACATATTTGTAATTGTTGCCGTAGCA